GACCCCAAGGCTGAGGGGCTTTCACCCAGCCCCGAGAGCCTGCCACTTTGAACTTGGACTTAAAGCCTCCAAATTGTAAGAATAAATGCCTGTAAGGCCATCCCATTTATGGTATATATTCCTGCCAGAGTGGCACTAGGTAACCAGAACATACAACTTATAATGAAAATAACTCAACAAAATAAATTTCTTGAATGAATGTCAAGGATGTACATACAACGAGGTTTTGATTTTTCCTCTGACTATCCTTAATTAAGACCCCCACCAACACATGCAAAATGAAACTTCAGTTTTGGTGGGTTGTTTTTAAATGTGGCTTCACCTAAATGAAATACAGCAATCATTAAGCTGTCATAATTTTTCCTGAAGTCTAACAGGAGGGATTTGTTTTAAAGTTCCTACGTTAGCCAGGAGATAAGTAGGGAGGAAAATTTTTCCTAATTCAAGACTAAGGATCATTGTTAGTGCTCTCACCAATGCAGGCCCCTAAATACATTTTAATGAAACATCATCAGTCTTTCTTTTCTAAAAGCAAGGCACTGGTAGCTATGACCAGCAGTAAAATTTAATTCTGAATATGCTCCCTAGCTATTGGGATTTATTCTCCCATCAGCTACACCTTAAGTGGACTCAGAGAAGAGGTATAAAAACTCACTGCTATCGAGTCAATTTTAACTCATAGCAACCCCCATTGGGTTTCCAAGGCTGTAATCTTTATGGAAGCAGACTGTTTCATCTTCCTCCTACAGAGCAGCTGGTGAGTTTGAACCGCTGACCTCCTGGTTAGCAGCCAAATACCTTACCCACTATACCACCAGAGATCCTTGAGAAGAGGTATGGTATCTCCCAAATATTTAAATAACATAGATCCTGAAAATACGAGTAGTCCTAGAAAATAATCAAATGTTCTGTTTAAGTTTTCAAAATCTTATATATTTGTTTGGTGCTCTATCTTTGGGGGAAAACCCAATTCCCACCCCCATCCCATCTGGAACAAGAATCTTGTTAATCCTGCCTCAGAGTCCTGGTGTTATCCAACAGTACAATGAGGAGGAAAATCCCTCTTCTCCTGGGCTTAGTTGTTCTGAAAAGCAAGAAGGCAAGGTCAATTGGTGCCTTCTCCCTACAGACGCCCTTTGTAAATATATGCCAATTTATTGATGCCTCTCTGAACTCTCCTATACAAATGCAATAATTAGAAAAGAGAAGGATACAGTGGAAAAGGGCAGCCAGTCTGCAGAGGAGCATCTGTGGTGCCAAGGAGCTGAAACTGTGGCTGATATGGGAAGCACCAGTACCTACCATGTAAACAAGATCCCCATCTGTCTTGTGGGTGGGAAGAATCTACTCTCCACAAAACCCAGCTGGACAAAGTAACTCATCAGCAGTTCAACGCCAGCCTCATCCCGGCTGGGCGTCCGACAAGCCTGAAAGGAGAAGAAACCCAGAGATGGTGAACGGCAGAGTGGACACAGCAGATGGCCCTTCCCCACATGCTCTGGGCATCTCTGCTATTTCTGTAGATCTTAGGTCTTACTGCTGATACCATGAACTGTGGAAGGAGTGAGAAGGGCCTGGGACAGAGTCAAGAGCCCTGGAATCCAGCTTTGGATGTGCCAATAGGCAGATCCTTCCCCTTCTATGGATGGTCGACACCCCCAACCGTCTGTGATTCTATAAGACTACAAGTGCGTGGGAATGGGCTATTCTGAAGAGTCAACAAGCAGGATGCACCCATCCTCCCCACCCTGCTGCAAACAAAAACTTACTTGTCTCAGATCCATAAGATCAGCTATTTCATCTTCATATAAATAACTATCTTCACTGTAATGTTCCAGGATAAAATCCTTTATAAAAAATGAGATAATTATAGCAAAAGGTGTCACTGAAGACCATAAATACGTAAAACGGTAATAATAATATCCCCTTTCAAAAATATATGTAGAATACAGGAAAATTTATAAGTAATTGTACACTACAGTGATTTTCTTAAATATTTTATATTTTCTTAAACATAATTATGTATATTTTAAAATTCTGCTCTTGTTGTTTTAGTAAAAAGAAAAGTTGAACTTCTTTTTATTTAAAAATATCTTTGTAACATGGTTAAGTGACCTATATATTAAGCAATTCTGACAAACGTCACAGATATTCTGGAGCTCAGACCTTTGTCCTTTGGGCTGCCCTCAGTACCAGGACACAGGTCTTCCTGGCAAAAGAAACTTGTGTTCTGGGAACTGTTACAGTGAAGCTATCCTAAGGGTGTGTAGTAGGAGCTTTGTAAGAATGATTCTGGGCATTTCTGCAAAGGAATTATCCCTTGGTGACAAGTCACCTCCACAGTCCAATGTTTGACCACTGTTCTGTCAGTTTATTCAATTATTCAACAAACATTTCTTGAGCACCTGCTATGTGCCAGGTACTTCTCTAAATACCTAGACTTATAAATGAATGAAAGAGACAAAGATCCCTGCCATCATGAAGCTTATATTCTAGCAAGGTAAGACAGAAAATGAACATAAGAAAGAAGTAAATTATATACTATATTAGAAGATGGTGAAAGTGTTGTGGTTCAGGGGTAGAATTCTCACCTGCCACGCTGAAGAACTGGGTTCAATTCCCAGCCAGTGCACCACATGCACAGGCAGCATTTCATTATGTTGTGCATGGGGGACCCATGAGTTGGGAGCCCACTTAATGGCAGCTAACAACAACCCCAAACAACCAATTCTGAAACTCTGAGAAGCACAAATACAGTATATTAGAAAATTGAAAAAAAAACTCATGGCTGTTGAGTTGGGTCCGACTAATAGTGACCCCTCCTTGGGTTACCGAGGTGGTATCTCTACGGAACTACCAGCCTTCTGGTTAGCAGTCAACTGCCTTAGGCACTATACCACCAGAGCTCCTATGGCAAGTATTATAGGAAAATAAGAGTAGTGAAAAAGGCAAGCCTAGGTGGTGCAAATGGTTAACATGTTCGGCCACTAACCAAAAGGTTGGAGGTTCAAGTCCACCCAGAGGAACCTAGGAAGAAAGGCCTGGAAAATTTACTTCTAAAAAAATGAGCCATTGAGAACCCTCTGGAGCACAGTTCTACTGACACACATGGAGTCTTCCATGCATCTACCAGAAGGCAATTAGATTTTGGTTCCCTTCCCACTACCCCTTGATCTCCTAGTGGCCCTCCTCCCCCTTGGCCACACCCAATAGGAAGCCATCAAACAGTCTGTTGATGCAGAGCACAAAGCAGAAGCAAAATAGATGAATTCCTAGAAAAACATGGTTTGAGAGAAAAAAGACTAAACATTTGTTGAAAAAAGTTATA